CCAGATACACATGGTTCACAACACGTATTTAGTTTTAGATATATCCGTAGTTAATACGTTACTCACCAGTCTCACGTAGTTCACAACACGTATTAAGTTTTAGATATATCCATAGTTAATACGTTACTCACCAGACACACATGGTTCACAACACGTATTACGTTTTAGATATATTCATAGCTAATACGTTACTCACCAGTCTCACGTAGTTCACAACACGTATTAAGTTTTAGATATAACCATAATTTTATTTGTAAAGATCAAAATCTATAATTTCATCAGTTGGATACCGTCGTTGTTAACGATATTTTGAGCTGCACTATATACGTCTGTTATTGAGAAAGAAAATTAATAAAAAGACTCCAAATTTAAAATGTTGAACAGAAAGCTTGAAATTGTCTCTTACTGTTAAAATACTCCATTAACCATGGTGACCTAATGTCAAACACTCTGTTTTCAACAACCAGCTAGAGACTGCCTCTTCTTAGGAAAACACTCCTTTAACCAAGGCCTTTATGATTATGCAATCAACTGGTTTGAGGCTGCTCTAATCAAAGCGAAAGAGGAGGGAAACAGAACGGTCAGTCCTGACGAAATCCAACCATTCCTGAATTTCGCCATCAATACGGTAAAGTTTAAGTTGATTATTTATTAATATGTTGATCATCCAATATACACGATATATGTATCCTCAGCTGTTTATCTATTATTATTATTACCTTAAATGTTTATATTATTATCAAAAGTTGCCCCAGATAACTAGAGATTACTATTAACTCAGCTGTTTCTTCATGTTATCACTATTTCCTTACTTCTCTATACTAGAGACGACTGTTAACTAAGCTGTTTCTTCATGTTATCACTATTTCCTTACTTCTCTATACTAGAGATAACTGTTAACTAAGCTGTTTCTTCATGTTATCACTATTTCCTCACTTCTCTATACTAGAAATAACTGTTAACTCAGCTGTTTCTTCCTGTTATCACTATTTCCTTACTTCTCTATACTAGAGATAACTGTTAACTAAGCTGTTTCTTCATGTTATCACTATTTCCTTACTTCTCTATACTAGAAATAACTGTTAACTCAGCTGTTTGTTCATGTTATCACTATTTCCTTACTTCTCTATACTAGAGATAACTGTTAACTCAGCTGATTCTTCATGTTATCACTATTT